GACAGCATGGACAGGGACACCAGGCAGCCAGCCACCTGGGTGCAGCTTCGTAGCCCCTGGGAGTGGGAATGAAGGCAGGAGGCTATCTGGCATCAGAACCATGATGCAGGGGACTTTACCAAGAGTTAGCTGGCCAGAGCTCTGCACTTACAAGGCCAAGGCCACAGACCTGACCCCCGGGAGGCCAAGTGGCAGTCACAGAACATAACCCTTTCTTGACCAGCTAGGGTACGACCGGCAGGTATAAAGGGGCCAAGTGAGAATGTCTACGAACCATGGCATCCTTGTCCCAGACAAATCCCAGTCTACTTCTCTTTCTGTTTCAGAAATGGAACAAAGAGCACTGCACAGGATACCACCCAGTGACTGCTATAGCCCGGGATCTGGCATAACCCAGTGGCCACAGCGATGGTGGGAGTGGATAAGGGGAGAGCATCAGTATTCAGTAAAGAGCCATCTTGCATGCTCAATGCTTGTCGGGGATCCGGGTGCTCTGGGTACAGGTACAAGGCAGGCCAAGTGATTTTGCTCTTGCCAGGAAAGGCTCTCCTCTAAGTCCTTGGGAAGGCTTTGTAGAGGAGACAGAGTTTCAGAGCAGTGGAGAAGCAGCGCCCCCTGACCTTGGACACTGCCTCAGCACCTCTCTTCCATGAACTTCCATGTTCCCTCACCAGGTCTTGGCCCAACCCCAGGGCTGGGGCAGGGCTGGCCTGGTGAGTGTGCGTGGGGGAGCCTGGGTGTGTATGGGGGAACTGGGGCCACTGACCTGGGAGATGACGAGCTTGAAGGATGACTTAAACTCCTGCACATCGGTTGTCAATCGGCTCACCAGCTGCCCTGTCTTTTTAGCATCAAAGAAAGCAATGTCTTGTCTGGCAGTGGGACACGGAGGCAGGTGGGTGGGAGGAGGAAGAGGGAGACGTTAATTCAGGATGAGGCCCCACCGCTGGGCCCCTGTGGGCCCATCATTCACCCCACTCTGTACCCTGTGGCTGGCAGTACCGAAGCAGGGAAGTGAAGAGGGCCCTCCGCATGTCCACAGCCATGCGCTCGCCGATGTGGGACAGCAGCACCAGGTACCCGAAGGTCAGCAGTCCCTGAGAAAGAGGCCCGGGCACTCAGGGATGCTCCAGGGCAGCTCCTGTGGCCTCCAGCCCACTCCCTGCTGTACCTGGATGCCATAGAGGATGAGCAGTTGGGTGCCGAGATTTCGGGACTCAGCCATGAAGCTCCCCACATGGTCCCTTGTGTACTTGGCCACGATCTCTACCAGCTGGCCCAGGAGCAGGGGGATCTGTACGTTCACCAGTGCCGCACCCAAGGCCAGCTGGAACGGGAGGGCAGAGGGGACAATGTTTAGGGGGCCTCTCCAACCCAGTGCGACCTTGGCCCTTCCTCTGCCACTGTTGTCCTGGAACCCCACCTTCCAGCCATGGCACCCCTCAAATCCAGCCACCTTGTACTGATTGTCCTGGCATCCCTCAGACTCCGGGTCCTTGGGCTAGCCCTTGCTGCTTCTAGGAGGTCTGAGACACAGTGAGGCAGGAATGCTGTCCCTGTGCACCTCTGGCTCAGAGCCTCTGCCGACCCCTTCCTTGGTCCTTCCCTGTCCTCTGTCCCCTCTATAGAGAGGTAGGGAAAGCCTCACCATGATGGCTACTCCAAGGACCAGCAGGTGGGGGCGCAGAAACTGCCAGAAGAGCTTCCAGTTAAAGCGGGACTCCGCAACACGGGGTCTGGAGTAGGCGGGAGGGGCCTGTTCTGCCTCACACAGTGCCACGAGGCAGAGGCGGGGACGCTTACTCAGCAGCACAGGGCCCAGCAGGGCTCCCCCAACCCAGCACCAGGCAGAGGGGCTCCGGCTGGGAGCTGGGGGGGCTCGAGGGAGGTGGGCCCGGAGCTGAGACCGCAGCTGGGCCATGGCCTTGAGGAAGGAGCTGTGGCCGCCATCAGAGTACCTGTACGGAGAGAAAGGCATTGATGGCTCGAGGACCCGACTGTCCTCCACCTGACCAGTAAGCCAACCACACTCCGGCTGAGCCTCTGAACAGCAGCATTTCCTCTTCTTTCAGGCCCTTGACCCTGCCTTTCTCGGGGACCATCTGAAGCAACTTCAGTTTCTAAGACAAACGTACACATGCAAAGTCACTGAGGAACAAGGAGGCTGAGCATGGAATCAAGCCTTAAGTGTTTCCCCTGCACTGTCTCTCAGGCCACAGCCAGCCTGCAGGCCCTTTCAGCCTCCAGGGGCACCGACCGCCAAGCCAGCAATGGCCGCTGGTCCACAGCACTCCCCAGACAGAGAAGGGCCAGGAGGCCTCAGTGACCAAGGCACAGAGGTCAGGAAGGGGCGAGTTCCTTCCGTGCCTGGCACTGCACCTGCTCACTGCAGACACCAAGGCAGACCCAGCTCCCACCTCCCTGGGAGGGAGATGGTTTTGTTCTCACCTGACAGATGAAAAACACCATGTGGAGCTGGCAGAGTTGAAACAATTTGTCCCCAAACAGTAGAACTCGGATAAGAGGGGAACTCTGCTGTCTGACTCCAACATCCAGGCTTATTCTGTCCTGCCTGTGTGCCGTACCCGAGGGTACAGGTGGCCGGGCCAGGGCTGGACCTGAGTCTTCTGACCTATTATGCACCATCACCCTGCCTCCCCTCCTGGGCTTGGAGTGCTGTGGGGACAATGCATGAAGGGAGAAGGCAACATAACCCTCTCCATTGGCTGGAGGAAACAACAGAGAAAAACGGAAATTCAAATAACCTATCTTTTTTTTTTTTTTAAACAGAGTCTCACTCTGTTGCCCAGGCTAGAGTGCCATGGCATCAGCCCAGCTCACAGCAACCTCAAACTCCTGGGCTCAAGCAATCCTCCTGCCTCAGTCTCCCGAGTAGTTAGGACTACAGGCATGCTCCACCAAGCCTGGCTAATTTTTTCTATATATTTTCAGTTGGCCAATTAATTTCTTTCTATTTTTAGTAGAGACCGGCCTTGCTCTTACTCAGGCTGGTTTCAAACTCCTGACCTTGAGCGATCCGCCCACCTCGGCCTCCCACAGTGCTAGGATTACAGGCCTCAAGCCGGCCCAAATAACCTATCAAGCCGGCCCAAATAACCTATCTTATCATCTTGGATAGGCTAATTACCTTGTCTTTCCTTCAGTTACCATATCTAAAAAATGGTAATGTAAATTCAACTGTTTAAGACATTTTGAATGTACTGTGTACAGGTTCCCTGATCAGAAGTACAGGGAAGATGGAGGGGAACAGGACAGCCAAAGCAGTTCTGCTCAGCCGGCACAGTGAAAGCACAAGCGCTCTTCCTCCTCCTCTGCAGGAATTAGTAAAGGCCTTCCAGGAGGCCTGGAGCCTGGGGGAGGAGGAGGGAGGCTTCCAGGAAGAGGGAAAAGTATCTATGGAAAGAAAACTTTCAAGAATAGTATGGCTGAAGTCTGGCATACAAGCAGGGAGAAGGGGAAAGGGCACTCACTTCAGTCTTTATTTTTATTTATTTAGTTTTTTGAGTCAGAGTCTCACTCTGTTGTCCAGCTAGAGTGCTGTGGTGTCAGCTTACCTCACATCAACCTCAAACTCCTGGGCTCAAGCAATCTTTCTGCCTCAGCCCTCCCAAGTAGCTGGGTCTACAGGCATGTGCCACCATGCCTGGCTAATTTGTTTCTTTTAGTTGGCCAATTAATTTCTATTTTTAGTAGAGATGGGGTTTTGCTCAGGCTGGTTTTGAACTCCTACCTTGAGTGATCTTCCCGCCTCTGTCTCCCAGAGTGCGAGGATTATAGGCGTGAGCCACCACGCCCTGCAGTCTTTATAAAGCACCTGGATTTAGAAGATTTTAGGCTAGGTATGACATAATAAGATTTGCATTTTAAGGATAATAGCAGCCGGGTGGTACCTGTAATCCCAACACCTTGGGAGGCCAAGACTGAGAGATCATTTGACCCCAGGAGTTCAACATCAGCCTGGGCTGTGTCTCTACAAAAAATTAGGGAGACTGTGTCTCTACAAAAAATTAGCTGGGCAGGGTAGTGCATGCCTGTAGTCTCAGCTATTCCAGAGGCTGAGGCAGGAGGATCCCCTGAGCCCAGAAATTCCAGGTTACAGTGAGCTATGATTGTGCACTCCAGTCTGGGTGACAGAATAAGACCATGTCTCTAAAAAAAAAAAAGATCCTGGCAGAAGGGAGTGGGCCCGAGGTAGACAAGAAGACTGGCTGGAGGGAGGCCCACTAGAAGCAGAAATCTTCCAACCAAGAGGGTCTGATGCTCAAAGATTCAGATGAAATTAGTGATAGCAAAAGGCTTTTTAAAAAGAAGAGTATGAGCTTTTTCCTTTAACATCACAGTGTTTCACGTCCTCAGACCCTGCTAACTGCAGACTTCATCTCACCCTTCCTGTGCTTTCAAGAAGGCCTGTGCTTCTTGCTAATTCTGTGTGATGCCTCCTCCCCTCACTCCGCCTGCCCGGGTTTTATGTCTTGTTTTCTACTGCATTCTTATGTCTATCCTAACTTTCAGACAGAGAAGCTCACTCTCCTTCTGCCCTGGGTAATTGCCCAATTTTCCCATTAGACTGTAAGTTCCTGACGTGTAGGAAGCTGTATCTTACATCCCCACCACTTAGCAGAGCTCTGGCACATTACAGATGTTCAGCAAATGCTCACGTTTGTTGAGCACAGGCATACCCACATCAAAGATGCAGAATAATCTGACCTGACTGCTGCTGCATTTTGCAAACATTTAGACTCACTGTGGCCAACAGTAAGAAATACATTTTACATTGCAACCCAGTATAACAAACACATATATGTCACACAAAGTTGAAATGCTTCACAAAACAGTATTTTCCAAATTTTAAAAATGTATTCCAATATTTTTTAATATATGTTTATTTTTAAAGAGATAGGGTCTTGCTCTGTTGCCCAGGCTGGAGTGTAGTGGCAGACCCATAGTTCACTGCAGCCTCAAACTCCTGGGCTCAAGTGATCCTCTCACCTTAGCCTCCAGAGTAGCTGGGACTAAAGGTGTGCACCATCATGCCTAGCTAATCTTATTTTTTGTACAGCTGTCTCTACAAAAGTCTCACTATGGTTGCCCAGGCTGGTCTCAAACTCCTGGGCTCAAGTGATCCTCCCACCTCAGCCTCCCAAAGTGCTATGATTACAGGCATGAGCCACCACACCGAGATCATTTACATTTAAATGGTACTGATCCATTAGCTTCATTTCATGATCTATTGAAAAACGCTAACTAATGAACACACATATACTTTAATATTATCTGATGTCTTTCCTTGGGTTTCCCTCTGGTTTAATATCAGTACCCTAACTCTGTCCTAAACACATTTTTCAAACTTTTCAATAATTTACCATGGCCACTTTCCAGCTTCTCTCATCTTTTCCAAACTACGACTCTAAAAAGGGCTTGGTCATTGCCAAGAACTGAAGGATTACTTCCCAGCACCAGTACTTCCAGCTCTAGCTGGCCCCAGCTCTTGCCCTCTGTCAATCAGATGGGTTTGTGACACATAACTCCTCATCCGGCTGCCCCTTGAGAATCTTCTGCCTGCTTGGCATTGGGGTTATTCACTCTAGGATTAGAAGGAAATCAGCTCCTTCTCATATAGCATTTACATTACAGTTGTAGTTCCAGGGTCCTTGTTTGCAGGCACGCCCTCTCTCCTCTCTCCCTCTCCCAACGTGTGTACAATGTTTTGCCAAGAACACACATGTACGAATTAGTACATTGACTCTTTATCCCTGGTGAATGTCTCCAGCTGCAGAAACCATTTTTGTTCGGCTCACTTTGAATCTTGTGGAGCACCACCAATATTAGATGCCCCTGGACACTAGTAACAATTTTTGTACAAATCTCCAGATCAATTTCAAGAGGGGGGCCGGAGACCGGGAACGGCGCCCCCTGATGGGGAGTGCGAACTGGGTATGGTCACTGACCCCAAGAGTCCCCTCGGTTCGACCGACACACAGATGTAGACGCACGGAGCCTCCTACTGGCGCCGGGACTATGGCTATAAATAATTGAGGCCAATTCCCCAGGGAGTGACATTCCACCCCAGGCTGGGCTAGCCTACAATTCCCAGCAGGCCTCGCGCGAACGCGGGGACTCCATCTCCCGGCAGGCCCGGCAATGACCTGCCAGCCAGTCAATGGCCCGCGCTCGGAGTAGGTTTGTCCCTTTTTACCTGACCGCTGAAAATGTCTGGAAGCGGAGGGGCAGTAGAGGCCTGCCTGGGACATGGCCGCCCCGAATCCCGACCCGAAATAAATGCACCAACATGCTGGGATAGGAAAACAGGAGCAGCCGGCAACGGCAGTTTCACCCTCATCCCACCATGGGTTCCATCTTGGCTCCGGCCCGCATCCCGACAACCCCCTCGCCCCTCAGCGATGATTGGTGGAAAGACGCGTCAATCTAGTTGCAAGCTGCGATTGGAGAAAACGTTGTCAGCCCACCTCCTCTCGAAATTGTGATTGGAGAGAATCACCTGCTCGCCCGCCCCCACTCCTGGGCAGGGCCGAGCAGAAAAGGACACTGCCTTTCTCCACCGGCTCTGGGTGACCGTCTGAGGGTGTGCCCAGTCTGTCCTCTCAGCCCCGGGGTATCCATAGTAACGCATCAGCTGCTAACCTCGGGCCATTTTCCTAAGGGTACTCCTGGAGGATTCTAGATGTTCTGGGGTCTCTAGATAGTGTAGAGCACTGGTTCTTGGGGACAAGTGAACAAAAATGCACTGGAGAGTTTTTTCAAAGCACATGCACGTGCCCAGCGTGGTGGAGCGCCTGTAGTCCCAGCTACTCGGGAGGCCAGGAGTTGGGGGCTGCAGTCACTGCACTCCAGCCTGAGCGACACAGCAGAGACACCGTCTCTTAAAATAACAACAAATCAAGTACTTGCACATGACTTACCATCCTGCTCTTCTAGGCGCATCAGAACAGGGTAAAAAATCCCCTGGTGATTCTGATACTCTTGTTCTGTTCCTCAACTATTGAGTACTACTGGTATGAAGGCCCTGTAGTTTATCAAGGCGCGATCTCAGATCTCTCCCTGACAGGGGTGAGGCAGATGCCTTCCTCACCAGGTCAGAATGACTTGCCTACAGCACCTCTGTTATTTCTTCCGTGTAATTGTTTACACACCTCCCTCCCCACTGGGCTGTGACATCTTGTGGTAGCTCTGCCTCATTCACCTCCAAATGCTTCGCAGGGAAAGTGTAAAATAAATTGACTTTGAGTCGGAGGTGGTGGTAGGGAGGCTGACAATGGATGAATCTAGGTTGGAACTGGGCAGGAAAATGTGTCGGGATTAGTTTGAGGTTGGGCTGGGGAGGGGTCCTAATGTGAATATGGTGGAATATCCTTGATATTGAGTGATACTATGTGAGTAAGAACGGACAGAGACAACACCCCACATAATCCATCTTTTTTTTTTTTTTTTTTTTTTTTTTTGAGACAGGGTCCTGTTCTGTCTTGCCCACCACAGGCTGGGGTGCAGTGGTACAATCATTGCTCACTGTAGCCTCCAACTTCTGGGCTCAAATGATCTTCCTGCCTCAGCCTTTCGAGTAACTGGGACTATAGGTGTGTGTCACCATGCCTAGCTAATTTTTAATTTGTAGAGACAGGGTCTCTATAGGTTGCCCAGCCTGGTGTTGAACTCCTGGCCTCAAGTGATTCTCTTGCCTTGGGCTCCCAAAGTGCTGGGATTACAGGTGTGAGCCACCTAGCCCAGCCACCATGTTATTCATTTTGACAGATGTCTCAGAAAGATTATGGGGATTTCGGGGCCCCTCTACCAATGTAGGATTCCATTTTTCCACCTCTAAAAGGGCTGGGTCTTGTTTTCATAGCTCTGCCTCCTGCTCAAGAATAAAGTTATGCAAGTCCTGAGCTACTGTGACAATGCCCCAACCAGAAAAGAGGCACAGAAAGAGAAAAACAGGCACATCTGGACTCAGGTTTTATGGGTACTTCCATGATGATTGCCTCCACATTCTTCCAGCAAATGATCCAGGAAGCATTGTGTTCCTCTCTCCATTTCATGGATGCTGGCCCCCACATCAGCTCTTGGGCCTAAGTCCTGGAGGCCCTGACACCTGGTGGCTGATTCAGCATCTCAGGAATGGGCTTCAGGAGGAAGCCTGGTGATTCAGGGCCTCAAGAATGGCGTTGGCCAAGCCACCAGACCAGCTGCCTGGGCCACCTCCTCCTTGTTGAAGCGACAACACAGAGCTCAACTTACTCAACTACTGCTTGGGTACCCAAATTATCCTTCCAAATCCTGGGCCACAGGCTGCCCTCCTCTGCCTGTTCGGCCCTGATTCTTCTCAGGGGGTGTCCCAGAAACTGGATCAGGACTTGGAGAGGGTGTCAGGGCTGAAGGGTGTAAGGAAGTAAACAGAGTGAAACTCCCAAGGAACCCCACTTTTCTACTTTAAGCCCCCTAAACTGCTTCTCAAACCCAAGTGACTGCCGTTTCTATCTACACTTCCTCCTCTCCTCAGTTTCCCCAACTTGGCTGCAATGTTCAGGCAGGCTCCCCTATTCCCTTCCTTAGCACCCTCAGACCAACATAACATGCTGCCTCTTTTTTTCTTTTCTATTTTGGTCTTTTTTTTTAAATTTCATCATATTATGGGGGTACAAATGTTGCTAAGGTTACATATATTGCCCATGACTCCTTGCCCCCCTCAAGTCAGAGCTTCAAGCGTGTCCATTCCCCAGGTGGTGTGCATCACACTCATTATGTATGTATATACCCATCCACTCCCCGCCCTATTTTGGTCTTAAAGCATTATTGTATGGGTGTGTGGAGGGAAGAGGACTGAGATTTTAGGAAGATTTAACATCCCAGCCCTGAGCAGCTCTTTATCTTCCGCCCATTTGAGGTGTGACAACAGGCAATAGGCGTCTCCTCTTCAGTGCCTGCCTCTTAAACCAATGCCCCTCCCAGGCACGTAGGCTGCGCCCTGAGTGGTTTGGCCCCAGGTTGCCCTAGAAGGGGTGTGAGTGATCAGACAGGTGACTGAGGGCTGGGATGCCTGATGCCTGCCTGAACTGAGTCACCTAGTGCTGTTGTTGTCATTGTCCTTGTTGAAGTCCCTGCTCAGCTCCACAGACCTGTGTGGAGACAGCAACAGCTCCCATCTGTCCACCCTTTCCGGAGACGCCGAGGCCTGATGGTGAGCCGAATGGGCTGGGGGGGAGGCCGGGGGCGGCTGGGGCGGTGGGGAGACCTGGGGCCGGGACCTGTGCCCCTCCTCCCCATGCCACCGCCTCCTCCTCCTCCTCATCGGGGCCCCGGGGGAGGGAGGATCTCCATCTTCTCTCTGTCTCCTGCCCCTCATGCAAGAAGCTCCCCCTCCTCCTCTTTCCCTCCCCCCACGGGCCCCCCCTGCTCAGTGCCGCAGGGGACAGGGGCTTCTCAGCCTTGCCACAGTGCCCTCCCTGCCCCAGCCACCCCAACACGGGCACGGCCCACAATGACACCCACCTCCGCTTCCCCCTCGTGGGGGTCCCATACCACCCCACCCCTGGCCTCGGTGACTCCCCCTCCGTCACGCCGATGCCTCCAGGACCCTCCTGGGCTGCGGATGGGTCCTCTGATCCCCGAACAGGATTATGAGCGGCTGGAGGACTGTGACCCTGAGGGGTCCCAAGACTCCCCCCTCCACGGGGAGGAGCAGCAACCCCTGCTTCACGTGCCTGAAGGGCTCCGGGGTGAGTGTGAGTGGCGCGTGGGGCTGGGGGCCTTGGAGCTCCAGGGCTTGCCCCAGGGCGGGCAGCGGGCTGAGGGTGTGGGGAAAAGATCAGGCAGGCGAGAGCGCCATGGCCCCACACTCTCCCCCTGTGCCCAGGCTCCTGGCATCACATCCAGAACCTGGACAGCTTCTTCACCAAGATATCCTTTGCGCTCGGCCTGCAGAGGTGGCACGCAAGGGCCCCCTTGGAGCTGGCAGCGTTCTTGCCAGGGAGGCTCTCTGAGGGTGTCGTGGTTGGGAAGACTTGCTGGGGATGAGGGGCGGCGGCCTCAGGAAGGCCCATCATGTCTCAGGCGTGTTCCTTGACACGCTGCCACATCTACAGCTACCACCAGCGGAACGGCTTTGCCTGCATCCTGCTGGAGGACGTCTTCCAGCTGGGGTGAGCTGCTCGTCCCGGCCCCTGCGGCCCCTCCTGTCGCCTGCTTCCTTAGTGACACCTGCTGCTCCCGTCCTCCACTTTCCCGGGCAGCCCAGGGGTGGGGTGGGAGGCTGGGGGGGGGGGCTAGGGCAGGCCCGCCTGGCCCTCAGGCCTGATGACCTCTGCATCCTTGCACCCTCCCTGCTAGACAATTCATTTTCATTGTCGTCTTCACAACCTTCCTCCTTCGCTGTGTGGATTACAACGTTCTCTTCGCCAACCAACCAAATAACCATACCAGACCTCGGCCATTCCACAACAAAGTGACTTTGTTGGACGCCATCCTACCCTCAGCCCAGTGTGCTGAGCGGTGAGTGACAGCCTGGTGGGGTCCCCAGGGGTGGGGCTCATGAGGGGGGGAGAGGAGCAGACAGGAGCTTCCCTTATCCCATAGTCTAGACCAGTAGTTCTCAAAGTTTTTGGCCTCAGGACCAAAAATACACTTAGTATACTTTATTTATTTATTTATATATTTTTGAGACAGAGTCTCACTCTGTTGCCCAGGCTAGAGTGCTGTGGCATCAGCCTAGCTCACAGCTGCCTCAAACTCCTGGGCTCAAGCGATCCTCCTGCCTCAGCCTCCCGAGTGGCTGGGACTACAGGCATGTGCCACCATGCCCGGCTAATTTTTTCTATATATTTTCAGTTGGCCAATTACTTTCTTTCTATTTTTAGTAGAGGCAGAGTCTCACTCTTGCTCGGGCTGGTCTCGAACTCCTGACCTTAAGCGATCCTCCCGCCTTGGCCTCCCAGAGTGCTAGGATTACAGGCATGAGCCACCTCGCCTGGCTGACTTAGTATACTTTAAATTGTATTTCATTTAAGGTGTATGAAGTATGTTTTTTAATTTGCTTAAAATTGATTGAGAACCCCAAAGAGTTTTTGTTTATAAGAATCATATCAATCCATGACTATCTGTTATATCTTATTAGAAATTAAAGCTGAAAGCCCAGGTTTACGCCTATAATCCCAGCTTTCTGGGAGGCCGAGGCGGGTGGATTGCTCAAGGTCAGGAGTTCAAAAAAACCCAGCCTGAGCAAGAGTGAGACCCCATCTCTACTAAAAATAGAAATAAATTCATTAAGGCCAGGTGCGGTGGCTAACACCTGTAATCCTAGCACTCTGGGAGGCCTAGGCGGGCGGATTGCTCAAGGTTAGGAGTTCGAAACCAGCCTGAGCAAGAGCGATACCCTGTCTCTACTATAAATAGAAATAAATTAATTGGCCAACTAATATATATAGAAAAAAAAATTAGCCGGGCATGGTGGCTCATGCCTGTAGTCCCAGCTACTCAGGAGGCTGAGGCAGGAGGATTGCTTGAGCCCAGGAGTTTGAGGTTGCTGTGAGCTAGGCTGACGCCATGGCACTCAATCTAGCCTGGGCAACAAAGCAAGACTCTGTCTCAAAAAAAGAAAGAAAGAAAGAAAGAAATTAATTGGCCAACTGAAAAATATATAGAAAAATTAGCTGGGCATGGTGGCGAATGCCTGTAGTCCCAGCTACTTGGGAGACTGAGGCAGGAGGATTGCTTGAGCCCAGGAGTTTGAGGTTGCTGTAAGCTAGACTGACACCACGGCACTCTAGCCTGGGCAACAGAGTAAGACACTGTCTCAAAAAAAATAAATAAAATAAAATAAAGAAAAGAAAAGAAAAGAAAAGAAAAGAAAGCTGAAAACAATTTTAAATTTTTTAAGGGGGGAACTGAGCAGGGGGTTTAGTTTCCTGTTTTTGAGACAGAGTCTTGCTCTGTCACCCTGGGTAGAATGCAGTGGCATTATGATAGCTCACTGAAACTTCCAACTCCTGGGCTCAAGTGATCCTCCTGCCTCAGCCTCCCGAGTAGCTGGGACTACAGGCTTGCCAGGATACTTGGTTAATTTTTCCATTTTTAGTTAGTAGAGATGGGGTCCTGCTCTTGCTTAAGCTGGTCTCAAACTCCTGAGCTTAAGCGATCCTCCTGCCTCGGCCTCCCAGAGTGCTAGGATTACAGGCGTGAGCAGCCACACCCAGCTTGAAAACATCTTTAAAACCTAAGACTGCCCAAGTGCACATTCCATTGACTGTCAGTGTGAGGTGACATCTTCACATGTCTTGTAACCTCTGCAAATTCCACTGTACACTCATAAGAGACTAAGATTGAAAACAGCAGAAAGCATTTGTATTATTTGAAAAAAGTTTTTTAGTTGGGTGTGGTGGCACTGTTGCCTGTAGTCCCAGCTACTGGGGAGGCTGAGGAAGGAGGATCACTTGAGCCCAGGAGTTTGAGGCTGCAATGAGCTATGACTGGGCCACTGCATTCCAGTCTGGGTGACAGAGACTCTAAAACAAACAAACAAATGATAAAGACAAAAGTTTCGACTTTGCAGCCAAGCTTCGACTTGTGGGCCTCTTCAGGGGCCTCCCTTACTGGACTGCTTGGAGAAGTGCTGGTCTAGCTGGGTCCTCTCCCCACGGCTGTTTTCCTTGCTCTGGTGTCCGTCTCTCGGGCTCTCATCTTTTTCCCCCACTACTGTTCCCAACCCCACACAGGATCCGCTCCAGCCCCCTGCTGGTCTTCCTCCTGGTCCTGGCTGCGGGCTTCTGGCTGGTCCAGCTGCTTCGCTCAGTCTGCAGCCTTTTCAGCTACTGGGACATCCAGGTGTTTTACAGGGAGGCCCTGCACATCCCCCCGGTAAGCTGGGTGGGCATGTCCGTGGAGGGTGCCATCCCAGGGTGGGCAGAGGAGTGGGGCTGTGCAGATGGAAGGGCCTACTGGAAAGAGGGCAGAAAGAGCAAGGCCTTACTGACACCTGCCCTAGGCCCAGAATATGTTAGAAGGCGGGGTACCACCACTTAGAAAGCATGCTCCTTACCCTAGTGGAGCTTAGTTTATTTAGATGGCTCATATGAGATGACTTATAGTCACTTGTTTGTGCTAAAAAACAATGAGTATTTAGAGGGAGGGCGGTCATCTGGCTTTCCAGAGCAGGAGGAATTTGGGTTGGGCTTGGAAGGACAGGATAGGACAGGAGGGGAGAGGAGGGCATTCCAAGCCCCAGGAGGCCAGTGCAGGAAGGTAGGGAAAAGCTGTGAGCATCTGTAGGCTGCAGCAAGGAGACGAACCCATCCACCTAAACTGAGCCTTCAAGGCTCCCATCAGGTGACCCCCCCCAGTGCTGCAGTAAGCCACTGCACTGGGGCCGGGTGCACTGGCTCACGCCCGTAATCCTAGCACTCTGGGAGGCTGACTAGGCAGGAGGATTGCTCAACGTCAGGAGTTTGAAACCAGCCTGAGCAAGAGTGAGACCCCGTCTCTACTAAAAATAGAAAAAAAGTAATTTGCCAACTAAAAATATATAGAAAACATTAGCCGGGCATGGTGGCTCATGCCTGTAGTCCCAGCTACTTGGGAGGCTGAGGCAGGAGGATCGCTTGAGCCCAGGAGTTTGAGGTTGCTGTGAGCTAGGCTGAGGCCAAGGCACTTTAGTCAGGGCAACTGAGCAAGACTCTGTCTAAAAACAAAAACAAAAACAACTGCATTGGCCTTATTACTGTCGCCTGGCCACATTCTGCCCTTTTCTCCTCATCTTGCCTCTGCACCTAAGTTCTTTAAGGCTCAGCTCAAAGGCTCCCTTCTGCTGCATGCCTCCCTTGCTTCCCCTTGGAAGTCCAGGGCTTTCTGCACAGCCCTCCTGCACAGGAAGGGGAGAGGTTCTAGAAGGCCCATGAGGAAGGGAGCACCAGGCACAGAGCAGGTGTCAGGAGGCCCATAAAGCAGCGAGGAGGGAGCGGGAGTGTGGCTGCTGACCTTCTCTCCCCTCTCCCATCCCTTCCAGTTCATCCTCTGAACTGCCGAGGCTGGTGGGGAGGGACTGCACTAACCTAGACTGGGGAAGCTGGGTGAAACCAGGCTAAGACGAAGTTTGAAGATCCCCAAAAGAGATCTAACAGCACCCCATGCCCAGACGTGGGCACTGCCAGGGTCTTGGGAGGGCTAATCTGGCAAGATGTCCCGGAGTAGGGTGGTGCTGGGGGTCTCAAAGCATGCCCAGGCAAAACGGTGGTGAGGTTCCGGGGCAGAGCTGGAGGGCGTGCTACAAACTGGAAGGAGAGAGTGCCCCATGACCTGCCAGCCACTCTGCTTTTGTGTACAATTGAGGGGGCCTCAGATAAACCTACTCTTACGTAGCTAAGAAGCCAGGTGCAATACCTGGAAAGTTTACCAACAAAGCGTCACCAGGAAGCACATGACTAATGGCCTCATGAATGGCAGGGATGATGAGGAACAGAGCAATTCAGAAAGGATGAAAGGAAGTAGGACATGGCCTTGTTAGGGACAGGGTTAAGGGAGGGCAGAAAGCGAAAGGTGGGGAGAGGCGGGGGGGGGGATGTAGCTTGGTCACGGTGAAGTTCTGCTTGTTTCTAGGCAGCCCATTTGGGGGTGTGGCTCGGGCATCGCAGTGGGGAGCAGTGGGGTCACTGGGGCTCACCAGTTCCCCTCTCCTCAGGAGGAGCTCAGCTCGGTGCCCTGGGCAGAGGTGCAGTCCCGCCTCCTGGCGCTGCAGCGGAGCGGGGGGCTGTGCGTGCAGCCGCGGCCGCTGACCGAGCTGGATGTCCACCACCGCATCCTGCGCTACACCAACTACCAGGTGGCGCTGGCCAACAAGGGCCTGCTGCCGGCCCGCTGCCCGCTGCCCTGGGGAGGCAGTGCTGCCTTCTTCAGCCGCGGCATGGCACTCAACGTCGACCTGCTGCTCTTCCGCGGTCCTTTTTCGCTCTTCCGCGGGGGCTGGGAGCTGCCCGACGCCTACAAGCGCAGCGACCAGCGCGGCGCCCTGGCCGCGCGCTGGGGACGCACAGTGCTACTGTTGGCCGCCCTGAACCTGGCGCTGAGCCCGCTGGTGCTGGCCTGGCAGGTGCTGCACGTGTTCTACAGCCACGTGGAGCTGCTGCGGCGCGAGCCGGACGCGCTCGGGGTTCGCCGCTGGTCCCGCCTGGCGCGCCTGCAGCTGCGCCACTTCAACGAGCTGCCGCACGAGCTGCGCGCGCGCCTGGCCCGCGCCTACCGCCCCGCCACCGCCTTCCTGCGCGCCGCCGAGCCCCCCGCGCCCCTGCGCGCGCTGCTGGCCCGCCAGCTGGTCTTCTTCGCCGGCGCGCTCTTCGCCACGCTGCTCGTCCTCACAGTCTACGACGAGGACGTGCTCGCCGTGGAGCACGTGCTCACCGCCATGACCGCGCTCGGGGTCACGGCCACCGTGGCCAGGTGCGACGGCAGACGCCCCGGGGTGGTGGTGTGTTCCCTTTCCCTGATCCGCGGCCAAGTCGGGCTCCTCCGGCCCGCCTCCGCCCGGCAAATGCTTACCCCTCCCACCGCCGGCGCCCCCAGGCCTTCATGCCACCGCATGCCCTCCTCACCGCAGGTCACTCCCCCTCGGCCCCCATCCCGCCCTCCAGGTCTTTCGTGCCTGAGGAGCAGTGCCAAGCTCGCACCCCGCAGCTCCTGCTGCAGGCGGCCCTGGCCCACATGCACTACCTCCCCGAGGAGCCCGGCCCTGGCGGCAGGGCCAGCGTCTACCGGCAGATGGCGCAGCTGTTGCAGTACCGAGCGGTGAGGGTCGCCGCCCCAGGCGGGGGCTGGGGAGGCCGTGCAGCCTGGTGCTCTGCCTGGGAGAGGGCATGGGACAAATGGGCTGTGCCGGGAGCCTAGACAGTGACTTTTTGGAGGCTTCCCGCCCTGGCGAGTGTCCGTGGGGCCTCTCAGCAACGCCTGCTCAGCCGCCCCTGCTTCCCCAGGTCTCCCTGCTGGAGGAGCTCCTGTCCCCTCTCCTCACACCGCTCTTTCTGGTTTTCTGGTTCCGTCCTCGTGCCCTGGAGATCATTGACTTCTTTCATCATTTTACCGTGGATGTGGCCGGGGTTGGGGACATCTGTTCCTTTGCCCTTATGGATGTGAAGCGCCACGGCCACCCTCAGGTTAGAGCCCTGCCCTCGTCCAGTTGGGTCGTGCTGGGTAGGAGTTTGCTTGTCTCACCTGAAGCTGACCTGGGTTCCAGCCCCAGCTCCATCACTTGCCACCTGGGACCTTGAGCAAGTAACTTCACTTCCTGCTCTCTAGTGTCCTTGCCTGTCGAATGAAGACGATGGCAGTGGCCAAGGCGTGGGCTTGTGAGGGTGACACGAGAGGATGTCTGTAGAGCCCTTAACGGTGTTGCTGGCACATAGGAGCATCAGCGATGGGAGCAGAGATGACGGGGGGGGGGGGGTGAGAAATGGGGCTGGTCAGTGGGTGGGGCTGATAAGAACGGGCTTCTGGACCAAGGCCCAGGCCCACTTTGGGGATCTGGTCTGCACAGGTGGGCAAAGCCGAGCTGGGCCTAGACCCAGGTCCTGCTCTGCTGCTGTACTTTCGGGTGATCTTGAGCAAGTCCCCGTCTTGGCCTCCGTTTTCTTCACGTGGAAAATGGGGCAGTGTCTCCTGTCCTGTCTACCCCCATAAGGCTTACTGTCTGCAGCGCCTGAGAGACTGTCTTTGCTCGCAGTGGCTCTCGGCGGGACAGACGGAGGCCTCGCTGTCTCAGCGGGCAGAGGATGGGAAGACTGAGCTGTCTTTGATGCGGTTCTCCCTGGCACACCCGCTGTGGCGCCCCCCAGGCCACAGCTCTAAGTTCCTCGGGCACCTCCGGGGCCGGGTACAACAAGATGCAGCCGCCTGGGGCGCCACCTCAGCTGGCAGCCCCCCCACTCCAGGAGCACTCAGTAGTTGCACGTCACCTCTGGTGAGTCCTGAGCCTGGCCTACCCTCTGCCCTCCCCACCCCAGCTCTCCCTTCTCCCTTGCCCTGCAGCCTCACCTTTGGTAGGACCCACCCTGCTGGCCCACCCTGGCCTGCTTTCTGGCCTTCGTTAGACCTCTTCTTCCTCTCCCCTCCCTCTCTTCCAGCGCCCTCTTCATCTTTCCCTCTTCTCTTGCTCACAGCCAGAGGCCTTCCTGGCCAACCTCTTGGGGCACCCGCTCCTGCCCCCAAGGGACCTGAGCCCCACATCCCCCTGCCCAGCTGCCGCCACAGCCAGCCTCCTTGCCTCCATTTCCCGAATCGCCCAGGACCCCAGGTGGGATGCAGGGGAGTGGGGGTGGCTAATCTTCTAGGAGGAAACTGGCCTGCTGAGGGGGGGTCCGGAAGGGGAAATCCAGCCAGGCCTGCCCTATGGGGTGGGAATAGATGGCAGGGCATGTCTTTTGACCTACTGCACCCTGTGTCTAGCTGTGTGTCCCCAGGGGTTACTGGGGGCCAGAAGCTGGCCCAGCTCCCAGAGCTTGCTTCTGCCGAGATGAGTCTCCACGCCATCTACCTGCACCAGGTGAGTGGTGGGCATGGACAGGAGAACTGTGGAGGGGACGCAGGGGGACAGAATGGAGCCTGGGGAGAGGGCCTAAGGAAGTACCTAACAGAGCTGCGGGAAGAGGTTTCAGAGCCCCCTGCACCCAGTCCCCTTGCCCTCAGGGTGGGAGGGGCCCCTCATTCCTCTTCCTTTCCATCAGCTTCATCAGCAGCAGCAGCAGGAGCTGTGGGGGGGTGCTTCAGCCACCTCCCTGTCCAGGCCCTGGTCCATCCCCTCGCAGCCACTCTCGCCTGATGAGGAGAAGCCATCCTGGTCAAGTGACGGTGAGGAGGGTGGGGTACACAGGGGGCAGACCCTGGGTGGACGCGGGCAACACAGCACTGCTCAGCTGATGGCTTTTGTCATTAGGCTCCAGTCCTGCCTCCAGCCCCAGACAGCAGTGGGGAGCCCGGAGGACCCGGAATCTATTCCCTGGAGGGTTTCAGGAGACCACAGACACTCAGAAGGAGCCTCTCCAGGCCCCTAGTACTGACTGAGAGGACTCCTCGGGGTCAGTATTGCCTACTTTGTGGGGAGGGAGAAAGGATCGAGTAGGAAGTTGGTTTGGAGTCAGACTTGGAGGGATGAACAGTGGGGGGAATTCGCAGTGGTAGGGGGCGGTCATCTCTGGAGCCTAGAGCCCTGCACTGCTTGCCAAGAGCCTTCTCCTCCCTCAGGTTCCCTGGCTTCTGCAGCCACAGGAGATTGGAAGGTGAAGGACACACCGAGCTGTCTTTAGAGCCCTCTACATACAACAGGCCCAGGAGACCTTGGCTGGGCAGGACCTGGTGCCGGAGGTCAATGAGGAGCTCGCCCCAGAGAACAGAGAAAGGGTTGGAGAGGAGATGCCAGTGGCATCTGGAAACAGGTCTTAGAGATGGTCTCCACATGGAGGGGTAAGGAGACACATCCCACCTAGCTGGAGCAGTTGCCTGGGAAGAAGTCCCCAGGTATACTCAGGTGGGGGATAGGGGCCAAGGAGGGGGCCACCTAAGTGTAAGGGAAACAATGGGGCCAGTGATCTGAAAGGCAGTGGCGTCTTCACTGGCCTCTGTCAGGTTCCCATGGCACTTGCAGGGGAACTTGTCAGTGGAAAGACTGAAGAGGGCTGGTGGTTGTGGACTTCAGCATCGGCGTGATGTCTGAGGGGGGTGCGGCTCCTCATCCTGTATGACATAAGCAGTAAAGATCGCTCATGACTGTGTTGCATGTCTGTGACGTGATCTCTGGCTTCCCGGCATCCGCCACTGCTGGCAGCTGAGGGGGCTAGCAGCTGCTGCTCAGTCTCGACAAGCCAGGGACCTGCATGGGAGAACTGCCCGGCACTGGCTGGAGCCATGCTCTTAGAGTCGAGCGGAGTGTGTAAGGCTCCCTGTCAAAGAATACACCCGCTGTACACACATCTGCATCTAACAAGGTTAAAACACAAAACTTGTCATTTTACAATTTTAATCGACGTGGGCCAGGTTAGGCATCTTAGTGTCTCATGACATCTGGCACAGTCTCTTGCGGTAAATCTTCGATAATAAATATTTGAACGACTTAGAGATTAAGCTTTCAGATACTCCTGAGAGAGGAAGGGGGATCTACAGTTCACCTACAGAACACGAAGTGGGTAGCAGTAGGCGCTGGAAAGCCACTGCTGGGAGGGGCCTTCCAGATGTAGGCAGACCCGGCCAGGGGAAGCAGGCCTAGAGAGAAAGACGTTTCACTCATTCCTGACGGAATAAGGCGGAATCTCTGCAACCTCTGGACAGCTGCGGGAAGGCACCTCTCGAGGGGACGGAGGTGGCTGGACCTGGGCAGGCCGACTGGAGCGCAGCAGCCCGTCTAGGTGTCTGGGGCGGGCGTGTCGAACGCCCAGGGCACCGCGCCCCGCAGCTGCCGCTCCTGCAAGGAAAAGCTCTGGGTGCGTATGCGGCTTGTCACCTCCTGGGTGCGCAGCGTGAGCCCGAAAATGTCCTCGTGGTAGCGTTGCTGATCCTGCCGGGGAAGAGGTCAGCGGATCAGAACCGGAGTGCGAGACCCCAGCGGGGACCTGACACGCCCGGTGTGCCTGGGCCCCTCCCGGTCCCCGCCCGGCCCGGCCGTCCGCACCCGCAGCACGCCGATGACGTCACCGGCCTCTTCCAGCTCCATGCCGCCCTCCGTCGCCAGGATTCGCTGCACAGTCTGCAGGACGCTGGTTGCCATGGTGACGTCGCCGCAGACGAACATGTGGCCCCGCTCGAGGCACAGCACGCGGTGCACCTCAGCAGCCAGCTCTGTCCTCAGGATGTCCTGCACGTAGGTCTGCGGGCAGGCGGGGTTAGGGGCGGGCCAGGTGGGCCCACGCGCCCTGGGGTGCGGTCTGGAGCGCGGAGCCAAGCCGGGGCGAGGCTTTGGTCCGGAGGTGGGCGGGCCCAGAAGGCGCTCGGGCACGAGCGTGGGGCGGAGTGGGGCTGGTGGCAGAGTGCCAGTGGGTGAGGGCGAGGGTGTGGGCTGGGAGGGGCGCCCCACTGGAGAGCGCAAAAGCCCTTCCCTCTCTCCCTGTCTCCAGGTTACCCCTGCGCCCTCAGGGTCCCGCACCTTGGGGCTGTCGGGTTCCCGGGAGAAGGCGGTGAGAACGCGGCCAAACACCCCGCGCTGCTGGGCGTCCTGCACCTCGTCGCGGTAGAGATGGTCGAGTTGGGAGCACCGGCAGCCGAACACCAAAGTCATGGGGGCGGGATGCAGCCCTGGAAGCCACACTGCGACTTGCTAGGGCCCCACCCTGGGGCGGAGCGCCAGCGCCCCCTCCCGGCTGGCCACCCCAGCTGACAGCCTAGCGTTCTGGGCTGAAGCAACCACTGTTGGGCTGTTTGGTCTCTAGGAGAGGATGCATTCACAGAGATCCTGCCACAGCCCTGGTTTACGGAGAAGGAAGTGGACCCCACACGGAGTGCTGACTTCTCAGGGCTGGATGGCCAGTGGCACAACTGCCTAGAACATGGGACTTCTGGCTCAGAATCCATGCTCTTTGCACTGTGTGATATCTCAGTCCCCTTCCCTGGTCCAACCTGTGTTCTCTACACTTATACACTTTCAGCCTTTCTCAAAGTAGCCTGGACACCCCATGCCCAACCTGCACACCCTGTATAGTCCTTAGGCCTTGGACACGCCTAGGTGAACTCTGGCGCAGTGCAGAATCCACCTGGGCCATTTCTCTCTTTTGAGTGGCAGCCCCATCCCTTCCAAAATTCCATTTCCTTTGTTTGTAATCCAGTTGACACCTACTATGTGTGGCCCAGCCCTTGCCCCCGTACCCTCTCTTCCCCTCGGTCTGTGTAATAAGCCTCCTTTCAGCTTTGTGGCCCCAGCTTGTCTTTCCTACGTGCTTCTTGCCTTCTAGCCCACCCCTTTGTCCCTAGACGTGTGACTCCCTCCTGCCTTGCAGGCAGTTCCTCAGCCCCCAGCCTCACCTTTGCTGTCGATGTCGTGCAGCCGCTCCTGCCAGAATCCCCGGAAGGGGGCAATGCCGGTGCCTGGGCCCACCAGGATGCAGGGCAAGCTGGGATCAGGCGGCAGTCGGAAGGAGGGAGCCCTAGCCGGAGAGACACTCCGTCAGGCCCCTTCCCCTCCCTGCTCCCCTATTAACAACCCGGTTCCACTGGTAAATGAGTTGATACTCGTAAATCCTTAAAGCACTGTCTGGTTTACAGTAAGCATGATGTAAGTGTTTATTAAAAGAACTCTGCTTGCAGGCAGAAATTTACATAGTTCAATTTGGATTGAAGACAACTTAGATGCCTCACTTTAAGGGATTTAGAAAATATGGGGAGAGGAAGGACAGACTTTTGGTTCCTAATGGGTTCACTGAGTGTGTTTATTTAAATAAGAGCCTTAATATCAGTGTTTGGTTTGTATTCAGTAGATTAGTACCATTTATTTGTAATTTAGCCTCCTGGATGGGTTGGGTCACTGGGCCTAGCTGGTGCCATCCTGGGAACTCTTCTCAGTCCTACTGAGACTTTTGGCTCCTGGCTGCTGGAGGGGGTTAAGACTTCTGGACACAGCACGAGCTCCTTCACCTTCCTTGAGTCCTCAGTGACATGGCCAAAGGTGGTCTTTTTTTTTTTTTTTTTTTTTTTTTTTTTGACAAGTTCTTTCCCTGGCACCCAGGCTAGAGTGCTGTGGCGTCATCACAGCTCTCTGTAGCCTCAGCTCCTGGACTCAAGCAATCTTCCTGCCTCAGCCTCCCGAGTAGCTGGGACTACAGGCATGTGCCACCATGCCCGGCTAATTTTTTCTATATATATTAGTTGGCCAATTAATTTCTATTTGTATAGTAGAGACGGGGTCTCGCTCTTGCTCAGGTTGGTTTCGAACTCCTGAGCTCAAGCAATCCACCTGCCTCGGTCTCCCAGAGTGCTAAGATTACAGGAGTGAGCCACTGTGCCTGGCCTCAAAGGTGGTCTTTATCCTAACTAGTCCTCCCTGGATTGAGTGAGGACTTGGTGACGATAGTTGCTAGGTGCCATGCCTTCCAACATCACACTGAGCCCAAGGACATAGAAACACAGAAGCTACACTTTCAAAAAGCAACAGGGCCAGCAGGTCTAGTCCCACTTCTGCCTCTGGGAGCTGTAGTTTCAGGGCAGGACTCCGAGTTCAAGTTAGCAAGAGGTCTAAAGCTTAGCCAAAGTTATGAATTGACCTAACAACACGCCATCCTTGGTATGGTCCCCCCTGCTTCCAGTAACACTCCTCACCACCCTGCCCCTGTGCAACTCCCCTCTGAGTCCCCCATCTGGCCCCGGCCATCCACGAGGCAGTGTCCCTGCTCCTACTTGGACAGACAGCACCGCCCCCCACTGCCCCAGCGGTGCTCACTTACCCCCTGATGAAGCAAGGCACGGGGTCTCCAGCCTTGAGCTGGCTCAGCCAGGTGGAGCAGACGCCGTAGTGCAGGGGGCCCAGCCCATCTAGGGGATGAGAGGAGAGGCCGGTGAGGGGCCTGTGAGGGGCCAGCCTGGCCCTGCTGTGGCCAGCCCGCCCCACGCCCAGCCTCACCCTGGGTCCTGTAGGCCAGCACGGCTACAGTGAGGTGGATCTGCCCTGGGTGGACGCTGGGCGCCGAGCTGACCGAGTAGTACCGGGGCTGGAGCAGAGGCAGCTGGGTAAGGAGCAGGGGCGCGGGCAGGGCCACTGACGGGAACTGCTCCAGCACCTCCAGCAGTGTGGGGCAGCGGAACCACTTCCATTCCTCGTAGCGCCGGGGGTCCTGGCGGGGTGGGATACAGTGGGCTGGGGACCCCGTAGCCCTTCCTGGCAACTTCCCTTCTTGACCCCTCCCTAGCCGAGCCTCTTGGGGTTTCTCCCTCCTTAGTTAAGGCCACAAAAGGTTTTAAGACCTTGCTGATCCAAAGATGACAGTCACGTGGGCACTGGGTCTTAAAGCGCCGTGTGTGTCAGCCAGGAGGAAGCCCAGGGAGGACCTTGCTTGGGGGCTTCCTGCCATGGGGTCCCCCCTCCCCTCAGCCTGCCTCTCTGGCCCCTGCTCCTCCCGGGGGGCGCCCCCCAACCTGGCTGAGGGCCTCCAGCTCCTGCTGTTCGCTGGGCTCTTCGGCCAGGGTGCTGAGCAGTCGAAGGAGTTGAGGGCTGGGTGGGGAGGTGATGTCCAGGAAGAAGGTGAGAGCCTGGCGCAGCGTGCACGGGGGCAGCCGGGGGTCCCGCACCCAGCCGGGGGGAGGGCCACCTGGGGGTGGTGCACAGGAGCTCTGAGGAAGGGGCCCAGTGGCAACTGCATTTTTCTGGGCTGATGTTTGCTGTTTGGGGTCTGACCACACCCCATGGTGTCTTGTTAGAGAACCCGCACATTGACAGCAGTGTGGGCCTGTTCGGGCAGCCTCAGTGTGTTTTTTGGGGGGCCACTGGCTGGACGGGGTTGGTCTGGGCTCCTCTAACCCTAACCACCCTGCTTATTTTAACCCCAGGCCCTGCTGTGGCGGGTGAGGGACCCAATGCCAGCTGCAGAGCAGGCTAGACTGCCAGGGGGAGCTGTTGGGAGGAGTCCAGATGGGACAGCTTCTGAGGGTGTGTGAGGGGCAGGTTCTGAGAAAGGTCCCCTGCTCTGTGGATGGTCCAGCAACAAGGCCAGCCTGGCAGCGGGCATCACGGCTAGCTCTGAGCCCAGTGTGCTTAGCTGTGAAGGGAGGTGGCGGCCCTGCCAGGTCCTGAGCTGGAAGGGG